GGTGGCTACAAAAGCAGCCATCGAACGAGCGGGTCTTCAACCTGGTCAGATCGAAGAGATTTACTTTGGCAATGTGCTCCAGGGAAATGTTGGACAAGCTCCTGCCCGTCAGGTCGTGCTTGGATCTGGTTGCCCGGATACGACGGAGGCTACCACCATCAACAAGGTGTGCGCTTCGGGCATGAAGGCCATCAGCCTGGCCGCGCAGAACATTGCTCTTGGACAACGAGGCGTCATGGTTGCTGGTGGTATGGAGAGCATGAGCAACGCTCCGTGAGTCACACGCTGAGCAGAGGTAGGACCAAGGCTACCTTATTCGTTATCTGTACGGCTGGCTGACAAGAGCCTGGTCTCGCTCCTCGCAGCTTCTACATGACCCGGGGTGCCACTTTCGGTCATCAGCAGCTGCTGGACGCCATCGTCAAGGATGGTTTGCACGACGTGACCAACCAAGTGCACATGGGCAACTGCGCCGAGAATACTGCCAAGAAGCAAAACATTTCTCGCGAAGATCAAGATGCCTATGCCATCGAGTCTTACCGAAGAGCAGCCGAAGCTTGGAAGAGCGGCGCTTTCAAGGATGAAATTGTTCCGGTGGTCATTGCGGACAAAAAGGGAGACGTGACTGTTTCGGAGGATGAAGAGTACAAAAATGTCAAGCTGGACAAGATCCCCACGCTTAGACCCGTGTTCGACAAGAACGGAACTGTGACTGCTGCGAACGCTAGCACGCTCAACGATGGTGCAAGTGCCGTCGTTCTTGCCAGCAAGGCAGAGGCTGACAAGCTCGGCGCAAAGCCTATTGCGAAGATCATTGGTGAGTGTCAAGGCTTAGGGTCGCATGCCCTCGTAGTGTACCACTGATCCCTTTATCCCGCTGTCTCGATGCCTTGTTCGCACAGCCTTTGCGGATGCTGCGTGCGCCCCCATTGATTTCCCCATCGCACCGGCGCACGCCATTCCCCTGGCTCTCAAGCGAGCAGGCATCGAAGTCAAGGACGTTGCCCGTTGGGAGATCAATGAAGCTTTCAGCGCTGTAGCGATTGCCAACAACCAGTTGCTCAATCTGGACCCTTCCAAGGTCAATGTTCTCGGAGGTGGTGTCTCTCTCGGTCACCCCATCGGCTCTTCTGGCTGCAGAATTGTCGTCACCCTTATTCATCAGCTCAAGCCTGGAGAGTACGGAGTGGCGGGTGTATGCAATGGAGGAGGTGGAGCTTCGGCCATTGTGAGTCATTCTCCCTCCTTAACTCCAGCTTGGCCAAGCAGTACTGACTCTTCTCTTCTTGCTATTCACAGGTCATCAAGCGCGAGGCATGAAGGTCTCAATTCAAGAGATGGGAAGTCGTGCGGTAATGTAGGCAGTACAAAAAAACAGAAGACAATTTCATCCTGTTGCAGCAATCTTAAAGGCGTGCGGCGTTTGGTGAACAGAACGAGCAAGTTGGAGCAAGCAGAATCTGGCAGGCAGCTGATCATGCAGGTCAACTTCAGCTGGCGCTCAAGTTCAATCTGTGGAGGCGATGGTTTGGGCAGTGGCAGCAGCAGCGGCCGCTTTCACGTCGAGTCCCGGTCCCGCGTCCTTGGCTTCCTTGAGAAGTTTCTGAGCTCCTTGTTTCATCTCCTGCAGGGCACTTGCGGAGCCGAAAGCCAAAAGGAAGAGGTCCGCAGCGACGCAGAGCATCCTGTAGCCGTACTTGATGCGGTTCTGCAGCAGCTCGTCGTTCATGGCCAGGCCCACTATTGGCTTGCCGTACTTTGCGCACTGCGACGGTCGCAAGCAAGGCAGCAGAGGCGATGTGTGGTGCGATGTCAGATGGCGATCAAAACCGGGGGCTAGTGATCCGCGGCTTCGTACTCGAGACTCGTACTCACCACGCGCTTGACCTTTTCAAACGCTGCGATGAAATCCGGCTCATCTCCCAATAGACCCATAGGATGACCTAGATCCATGCGCAGGTCACCCGCACCGATCATGATAGCGTCCACGCCGGGAATTTGGCAAATCTCTTCCAGATTCTCGCTGTGGCCAAGAGTCAAGGATTGGGATGGATTAGGTGCGTGTCGCATTCACCTCTCTCGTTCTACTCACATGCCCTTGGCGCTCTCTACTTGTGGAATGACTGCGATGTGGTCGTTCGCAACGTGAAGCTTGAAAAAGCGATGGGACTCAACGTCAGCAATAATTCCAGCTTCTGAGATTTGCCCTTGACTCACGAAAGAACTTCCTTCTGGTGCCTGATCCGTCATGCCCGGAATCACGGCGAACGGAGGATACGACCGATGACCTTGCGGTGCTGCAGAGCGCGAGGAAACAAGCTTGGGTGAGTTTCATGTCGTCAGTCCTCGATGCTCTTGCGCTGCTTACGAAAACGAGAATAGGAAACGAGCTGTCTGATCTCGTCTGGATCTTCAGCATGAGGCAAGATGATTCCGCCGGCTCCTGTGTAGATGCAGGATCCCAAAAGTTGGCGCGTCAGCAAGATTGCGGGGTGAGGAGTGAAAAGTCAGCATACCAGCCATTTGTGCTCACCAGCATCGAGAACGTGTGCGATGAGACCAGCATCAAGTCCTGGGATCCGGACGACGGGAGCAGTGTGGCCTTCAGAGTAGAAGTTGATGATCTGTACGAATCAACGCGCATACGCGATACGCCCTACCGTCAGTCCCCCCTTTTCCCCCGCCGAATAGCCGCAAAAAGGCGCAGAAGTAGGTCCCCGCTTTTGCTCACCTGAATCACGTCTGCAAGCAAATTGACGTTGAAGGGCGAATGCTCGGCATCGACCCAAATCTTCAAATTGGAATCAAGGCGATGGCAATAGGCTTATTGTAAGCATCATCGACTGGTGTCACGAGCATCATTGAGGCTCTCGCGGAATGTCTCACCCAGTCAGCACGCGTCACAGACAGCGCTTTGGCAACCTCGACGGACGGGACACCCAAGCCGAGTCCCATCAACAAATTGTTGGAAGGGCCGTCGCCCTTTTCGTTGAGTAGAGTCTTCAAGGCCGCGCGCAAGTTGGCAGGTTGCTTGAGCGACAGAGCTCTGTACGGCGCAGGGGGCCAAGCAGATCTGTTTGGATATTGCGTTTCGTTTTGCACCATTTTGTCTTTCAACCTTTTGCTGGCTTGTTCCGTATATTCTTGGAGGGAAGCTGTATGATCGTTGCGACTTAATGTGACCGAAGCCTTGTCCTGACTGATCCT